GTCCTTTAAAAAGCAAGAACTGCTAATAGAGTTCAACATAATAACTACGTCTGAAGACCCTGAGAGTACAATGTTCGTAATGAAATCCATTACTCTTAAACTTTAAAGGGAGCCCATCAGAAGTATTGATATGGCCATTAAGAGAATACTTTAATTGTTGGCCCTGGCCCGAGCAGCTTCGAGTAAGGTGGACTGAAACGTGAGTCAGCATTTTTCACCAGATCAGCAGCAGCATGGAACAGTAATTGCGCAGCTTAGAGAGTTTTTTATGACTCGGCACAAAGTAGTAAAATTTGTTGAATAGATGTTTTCACAGTGGTTACAGTCAATACCACATCAGTCTGAGATTTTTAAGGATTGTCAATCATTTCTTCACTGAAATTGTGTATCTGAATGTTTCAACGTTAGTAAGACTCATATTCATGTTGTGTTAAACAGCACAAGCAGCACCGATATTCCTTTGACATCCTACTCCATATTCCATTAAGTTTTATTCTTAGTAACTGTGTCGCCTCATGGTTTGATTTTCTTTATTGGTTTGCTTTTCAATGTTATTTTGTAGCTAAGTCAGCTGTGTTGTTGGGTTTTGATCATGCTGAGTCCATATACGCAAGATGACAAGCGTAGCATTTACCTTGATCGCTAGCTTGTTCATAGCTTTGAACCGCCTGGCATGGGTCTAGCTCTAGCCTAGATTCAGACAATGAGGGAGCTTATTTTAACAAGCTAATCTACTGCAAAGACTGCAGCGACATGGCCGACACATATCTCTCCCTAAATTAGTCCTTTAAGCCTTATATATGTATGAGACATAGCGAGCCAAATGTTAGCGCTCACCAATTAGTGCGGCAGTGTTCAGCGTGGATTAGAGATGGGTTGTTTTTTTTCCCCATCTTCTCCCCTCCACCAAATCTCTTTCATCCATGAAGGAAATGTAAAGTTAATTCACTCCAAAATGCCCTGAAAATGTCACACAACATCCTGATGTTGGCTCATCAGTGAAGTGGATTCATGTTCTAAAACTAGCCAAAAATGCAATGTGTTAAAATGCTCTGACAGACAGGAGATTTATTAAACAAATGCTTGTTTTCCCAGTCTTTCATATAGGATTGCTGAGTCAAATAATTATTTGATTAGGCTACTTTTTCTTCGTAAGGTGCAGTCACATTTACTGTTTTTCGAGTGAATTTTTGTGGTTTAAATTGAGTCAGTTCAATAGGAATCTATGCAGTCGGGAATTTCATTTGAGGGGGAACGGTTTCCCAACACGGATTTTGCACCAGGTTCAAATTTGTCACGCTAATTCATCACATTGACCGACAGAAAACTGCTTGGTTTGAAAGTGATTTCTGTGAGCTGAACTATTGGCAATGGACAATAGACCTCTTTTTGCCCACAAAAATTACCTTAAATCTAGTGATCAAAGTACAGTAAAAGCTACATTTTTTTGTGTACACATATCTTGTGTATATAGCATGATCAAAACCAACAATATACAACATATACTGGTGAGTTGGCTACAAAGTAACATTTAAAAGGAAGCTAAATAAAGAAAATCAAACCATGAGGTGACACAGATACTAAGAATAAAACTTAGTGGAATATGGAGGGCAAGACACTGGTGATGTTCGTGCTGTTTTACACAACATACACATGCGTCTTACTAACTTACATTTGAAAACATGATTTCAGTGATGAAACAATTGATAGAGTTGTATAGTATGGACTGGTACCCCTGTAAAAAGAGCTGTTTAAAAAAAAAAATACCACTTTGTCTAAGAAACAGCCTAAGCTGCACATTTGCTGTTACATAAAATGTTGCTAATGTGACCACACCTTTACACCATTAAAGCCAACACTTCATACAGCATGGCAAAATCTTATGATATCATATGACTTGGATCATAAGAAAGGTATGACTTTCATAGTTGTTTTCTTATTAAACTGATAGTTAAGTTTAGGTTTGGGTCGTATACTTTTAATATGGTTTTGCCATCTTGTATGACTCCTCACAAGACCCTCTTGGACTAGCCAACTCCGTTAAACAACAGCATGTTGTTCTTTGTTGTACTTTTGTGTATGAATGAAGTGCACAAACCTTGGTAAAGATAGATATAAAATATCAGGATTGTACAATATGTACTTTCATTTTTTGCACCCAACACTAAATTAAGCTGTAACATCCTTTCAAGCAACATCAAAAATCAATTACCTTGTTGGGAAATAAATAGTTCTGTCACATTTTAGCTGTGTAGTATTAGACGGGCTAGAGGTTAATGGGTTTGATTGTTAGATGCATCAAACAAAGAAAAAGCACAAGGAGAGAAGCATGGACAATGACACATTATAACCGAAAAGATGAGCAGAATGATGTTAATACAGAACAAATATGAACAGAATATCCAAATTAAAGAGCAATCTACAATCATGTGACATCTTTTTGCATCAGACAATTTGCCACAACTAATTAAAATAAGCAGTTTTGCAACCCTTCCAACTCTGAAATAACCACTTATGTGAAGATTGCATTCACTACTGTATACGCTGTTCAAGCATATACATTTGAGACCGAGGGTTATACCTGAGGAAAGACACTGACACTGATGGTGCTGTGGGTATAGATGGAGGCAAAGTTTAGGCAGCCTGACTTCACCCTCTATCCAGATGCTTGTTTAACATCACTCTCTCCTGCAGTCTGTGATTTAGATTGATCAGTACAGTTAAGTGAGTACATCAAGTGATGATACTATTGTTTGTCAGTCACCACAGGACTCTTTACAGCCTGAAGACATGCAGTGCTTTCTCTATAATATAGCCTATATAGTGCTGTGTGGCACTGCAGCTCAAGGTTTAGTTACAAGTTATGTGTTAAAGTCCTTGTTGAAAAATTATATTGCATTTTTGGTGACATTAAATGTCTATAATTTCACATATCACTCCTTGAACAGTTGTGTGTGTCTGTTGTCAGAAATGGAAGTGAGGTTTTTAGTCATCCAGATTTTGTTCTCTAGAAAATTGCACAAATGGTTGATGCATCATCGGTTGAAGCTGTGAAATAATGATTCAATGCATATTAGGACACAAATGTACCATTCTTGCAGGAATTTATTACACAAACATGTAGACAAAATAGGCACATAGTCATAAAGTGGATACAGGAAAATTATAATGATGGAATAAATGTTAGATATGTAGGTTGTGGTTATCTAGGTATTCTGTGGTTTTGGGCTTGTGTGCAGTTTGTCCATGTCGAAGATCATATTGTATACAAGTCATCCACTACAGCACGCCCAGATTCTTGCAGCAAGAAAGGAAAATAAAGCAAGGTGAGGTTAAAGGTGGAAGTATGTCTGGCCGGTGCTCACGCTGAGGTGTGTTTATCTGATCTCGAGATTCTGGAACGGGTGAACCACTTTATTTGTTCCTCTCTCATTTCTGCCAAGTCCAGCTGTCACGCTGTGGGACAAAGAGGGGTAAGCAGGGGACAACGGAGGGAGGAGTGCAGCTGAAACCAAAGATAAACCGAAGACCCCTTTGCAGACTCGTCATCTGCATTTGACGGGACCCCACCCCCAGTTCCTCCAACCCACAGACACACACACACACAAACACCGCCACTTACACCTCACGGGCACATGTTGTATAGCTCTTACACACTCTCCCTCTCTGAGTGCTTGCATTGCTTTCTCTTTCTCTCGCACACACACAAACACTCAAACATGCTTCCCCCTCCCCTCTTTTCCCTCTCTCTATTCTCTTCATTAGACTTGGTAATCCCTCTCTGCTCGCTGCAGCTGTTGCCCTCCTCAAACCTCACAATAGTCCCCCAAAATTGTCATTTTTATAAAGAACAAAATAAATTCTATTTTTTTTATTTAGTCACTACTTCATCTCACTGACTATAAAGTGTTTCCTTGCCCTGGAATGAAAAAAAATTGTATCTTGAAAAATGTGGTAACATCTAAATTAATAGATTTTATTCAAATAAAAAATGTTAACATTGTTCATCTACCATAATATATTAGGTTAGGTTACACCAAAAAAAACTCAATTTAAAGGTAAGACTAGGTATAAATAGATCTTTAACACAGGCCTAACAATCGCAGGTTACAATTTTTAGTGTATTTTGTCTATCATAAAATAGGTTTTTAAACTGTAGCCTACTTTTATGCATCATTTATTATTATTTCATAGTATTATTTTATGCTTTACTTTTGTTATAATAATACCCCCTCTGAGCAAACCAAGTTCGACAAAGGAAAGGAAATAATCTCGTGAAGGAGGAAAAAAATACTTAAGAGAAACCAAACTCCTCTGGTAATACACACATTATAATAAAAGTGTGCATGCTACATATTATCTAAGTATGTGTAATACTAGTCCTGTGTTCTATATTTAAATATATAAGGTAATACGCAGCACGATGTTTAGATAGTAATTGATTTATATGCTTTGAAGTCGATCGTAAAGCGTCGGCTCGATATACAGGCAGTGAAGCGTCCTTCTCTGTCTGGCTCGTACAGACTGGCAGTAGGCGTTGCAACATTAGTTCGTTTTGATTGCGATATAACGGGTTAAAGATGTGGGAGAAAGCTTAGGGAAAATCCAGGCGCGAGCGATTCAGCAGGCACAGAAATCCCGAATAGTTTAACAAATGAGTGACAAGCTCTCCGTCCATTCAAGCTGGCCCTGTCCCCCGCGCGCTGTGGGCAACATGTGGAGGCATCGCTATAGCAACCAATGGATGTGACATGTGCTACAGACAGCGACTCGAGTCTCGCTGAAAATAAGGAGGGGCTCCGTGAAAAAAAAAGCGGCTTTTCAGTCGCACATGATCATTCAAAGGACAAGACAACCCACTGCAGCTTCTTATAAGTCTTTGGGAAATGTGGCGGACGATTTAGCTCGCCTTTTTTCCCCGCGCTGCATCAGTCTTTTTCTTTCAAACTGTTTTTTTTTTCTTCGTTTCTGTTTTAAAAAAGGACTTCGAGCAGCGACGGTCTTTTGTTGAGGTGGACGCGAACGGGGAGGTTAAAAACTTTTCTTAGCTAGCGGGATTGCGAAAGGAGGCTGCAGTCGCCAGTCGGACATCTGCGGAATAGGATCTTGAAAAGCATCCTTCGCGCGCTGTCCGACAATGGAACTAGGTAACTATCTATTGGACTTGCACTTGTCTGTTGATGCGCATGTATAATGGTCGGTAAATAAATGTAACGAGGCTCTGAAAGCACCATTAAGCGTCACCTAAAACTTATTGCGCATCCGGATGCATCTGGACTGATAATGAGAGTGCCACTGTCCTGCAAGACTTACGTGGCAGTGCTACAGCGTGACACATTTCATCGTTTTTTTCATTTAAAACGCTTCTGCTGATAGAAGCTCGTGTATAGTGCGTGCGATTTGATGGCTGAGATGGTTTGCAGACCGTTATGTAATTGATATTGGTCGTGAGTCAATGTAGAGTGGTAGTAAGAGCTGAGCAAATGGTTCAGAGTGCAAACAGAAACACCATTCTGTTTCTTTATAAAGGGAGGAATCGGTGTTTAGCTGTTTATTTGCGGGAAATCGATCGCACTGAAAGCGGTGTGTTCAGTCTGCGTGGGTCTTTGCGAGTTTCAAATGACTTGGAGCCAAAAATAAATAATAATATAAGAAAGATGTATAGGTGGGTAGATGGTTGATAAATAAAGGGGGAAAAAACTTCATTCTAAAGGCTGTAAGACTCATTTTCATTTGTTCAATATCGTGAGCATGTTTAATTAAGTTATTTTTTAAATGTATAGGTTTTTAATTCAGTGCATTTATTCTTTTATTTTCTTCCTATTTTTAAGATCTATAGAGCTGAGATTGGAGTGGATGGTTTTAAGGTAGAGCGATTATTGTGTGTAATAGTGAAAGGATATATGGGCGGCCCTTGTCTCAACCTTTCACCCGTCACAGTCTCTCCTCCACCCATCCCTTCCCTCAATGATTTAAATCAGCCGGTGCATCCCAAATCCATCTCCCTTTTGTCCTTGCCCAAATATACAAATCTTTTTGTTTATCTTCTGTCCTTTAAAGAACGAAAAAAGAGGGGGTAAAAGAACTTAAAAATCAAAACTCCATACATACAGATTGCTTAAAAAAGTTAATTGCTATCAGTGATATTTGTCTGGCCATACATTGATCTTTTTGTTAGGTGTTTAGTTTATGTTTTACCTTGGCTTGGACAGTAGTCCTGGATTGAAGTGTTATTTTGTATGGCTGCTGATTCACTGAGTTGTTTTTGTTGTTGTTGTTGTTGTTGTTGTTTGTTGTTGTTGTTGTTGTTGTTGTTGTTGTTGTTTAATCGCTCATTATAAAATGTACATGTATGAGGATTTAAATTTTGTCAGTGTGGTAAAGTTTCAGTCAAGAGATTCATTAGCTGAAGCTGAGGATAAGCAATATCTGATGACCCTGCAAACACCCATTAATCCAGAAACACATCTCACCCAGTAACATATTTTTCCTCTTCTTGTTTGCTATGCCTTGCTTTTCTTTTCTTTTTTTATGCATATCACATTATTCATTTTTCTATAATTTTTTTTATTTTAAATTCTTATTATATATTTAAATGATGAAAAACGTTTCTTCACTGAAACAAATTTATGTGGAATTCTAGATACTTTATTGATTTATACACACAAAATTCTTTGTATTTCTTCTTCAGATGAGGATTTGAGAACCCTCTCTCTCCCTTCCTTTTTTCTGTCTCTTTTTTTAAGTTTTCTTCTCTGCTTTTACGTAAACTGTGTTTTTGCGGGTTTTCTACTATAAAACTAAATGTGTTGTAGGAAGTGAGAAGATTTAACACATTATTTCAATTGAAATAATCAGCAGATTATTTTCTGATTATTTTCTTTTATAGAGAATTCTTTTAGAGAATTCTCGTGTTTTGAGAGTAAAGATTTAGGTAATTCCACAATACAACATACCGTGTAGAGTCTGCATTGCATTTCAACATATTTGCTGTCTTCCTTATAATAAGAGAAGGTATGTGATAGACTGGTTATTTCTTTATCTTATTATTTTACGAATAATTTCTTAGTGATGTTGAGTTTTTTTTTTCAACTACATTTATCAGTTGTACATGCACCAAAATAATATGTTTAGATCATAAGAAACATTTTTGCTAAGCAATAATTTTGTACATATAATACGAAATATTTTTTGTCGACCTTGCTTTGATGTAGGTGCTTTATTTTATTTTAATGATATATATTTATGCTGTACGATTAGTTTTCGTAGTGTCGTTTCATTAATTTCATATACACTGTAATCTGTGTTTAACTTGGGAATAGACTACCTCAGGACAACATTTTTCCATTTTTCTTTTATATCTTCTCTCCTTTTTTGGTCTATTTTCCAGTCCCTTGCTCAAATGCCTAATGCATGTATTCTATTTAGTTATAATTAATTGCGGACATTATTTAGCCAAGCACAATTTTCTTTTCAGAGCCAGCTTTTCATGTTAGAGATCTTTTCATGTAATTCGATTGAGAGTGCTAAGCCTATCGAGGGATGGAGGGAAGGAGAGAGGGGGGATTCTATTCCAGCTGAATGCGCCCTCCTCTCTACACACTCTCCATGCAACGTTTGATGGGTGGAAAGCAAACCATTTCTGCACCAACAAAAGCCCACAATCACAAAAAGTAGAAACTAATCCTTGGAAACTACTAAACCTCACATTTAGAAGCTAATATTTTCAGTAATGTGTAGCCAGTGTATGGGGGATTTCAGTATGTGATTAAATGGAGTGGCATATGTAATTTAGAGCTTGATTTATATATTGTGTGCTTCACAGTCCTAAATGTTATGTTTGTACCGCAATAACAAATGTGAAGTAGATTATAGTCATCGTTTCTAAAATACCGATCAGAAAAATCAGTCGTGGGATGGCATCTCGCTTTGCTCGCATGGCTCATAGTTCTGTGATCAGTCGGTTGGTATGATAGCACTGAATGCGAATAGAGGCAGATTAAAAAAAACTCTGAACCCCATTCTAAAGGCCTCAGTCTATTCAGCCTCACAAGGCATTTGGAAACAATACGCCGCCAATCCCCCAGCAGCTTAGCCCCGGCTGTCAGCCCTCCCCCGAGGGGCTAACAAGCCTGACAACCCCCTCTACAGTGGAACATTCGTGGGGCTCGGACCTTTTAGGTACTCCCCCTCGGCTTAGCCCCTCTCCCATTTTATTAACTTGGAGGTCTGAGCCAATTCCCCCATCCCGACCAAACCCAAGACTTGGAGGCTAATTAGCAACAAGCTGGTACAGTGAGGACCGACCCTAATTGCTCTGTGGTGGCATGCTTCGACCTGCCAAGACAAGAGTGGATCGGGCCTTCACTTCCCAAGTGTCGGCTTGAGGTGTATCTACATCAGTGTATAGCTAGTAAAAATTACAAGCAATATATAAGCGTCTTGGTGCCTAATTTAAACTATCGTATGAAAACACCAATTGGACATTATACTGTGATCAGTTGGGTGATATACATACATATATCTTAAATACATCTTGTCTTACATATATATATCTTACATTTTCAAATATTAAAAATATTATTACAATTTAAAATAACTCTTTTATGTTTTAATTTATTTTAGACGTGACATATTTCAGTAATGGCAAAGCTGAATTTTCAGCAGCCATTACTCCAGTCTTCAGTGTCACATGACCTTTCAGAAATCATTCTAATATGCTGATTTGGTGCTCACGAAACATTTATAATTACTATCAATGTTGGAAACAATATTGCTTAATATTTTTGTATTTTTTTATATATAATGTGTGTATGCATTATCTTGTTTTAAATTCACAATGTTTATCAGAGTTTCTCTCTCTACTCTGTTCTTATTTCAGAGGGGCAAACTGAATCACATCCCCGTGGTCAAACAGAGTCAAGTGGAGCCAGGCAACTTTTTGATTCTGGTGGTGGTTTCCATGGTTTTTATTGTGATGGTGTTGGGGATGTCGGGGGCTCTGTACTGCTTGCGCCATCGCTCCCACCATAAGCTGAAGGAAAAGCTGGCTGGTTTGGGAAGCTACACAGGCCACGATGCCACGACAGCCTATCAGGTAGGAGCAGGACGATTATTTCAGCCAATCATGTTTTCTCTGACATTCATCCGTGCATATTAACATGAATAAGCTTCTCTGTTTTTCCAGATATAGTGAACAAGTTGTCCTCGTCCAAGGTTATTTTTACTTCCCATTACAGAGTAACACACTCTGTATTTGCGATCATCACCAGGTGTATTGAAGGTTCTTAAAGGTTCCAAAACAAAAAGGCAATGAAATTCATTTAAAGCTTCTTTTCCTTAATTATGACCCATTGGAGCAGGCGCAGATGTCCTTGCATGACAGCGGTGTTTAATATGAATCCTAATTGAGGCAGAGCCCTTTTTAGCAAGGAAATGAGTTTGTTGTCTGACCTTTCTTTCACGGCTCCTGGAGGGAGGGCTTGCGGTGAAGGCTTATTGATTTTGTGTTGGGCTCAGCTGTACTCAATGAGACTGGATCGCAGGGTGCAAGCACTTGGCTTCCTCCCCCGCCTTCAATATTTAATAAACCTCTCACACTTTGTCGAGAAGTCCCTTCCATAAACGTCGGCCCTATCAGTGTGGCAAAATAATTGGTGTTTCTCAATATTATTACGGGGCAGTCACACATTATGTCTTGACACCTTTGTTATGTTTTCATTTCAGGTTTTAATTACTTTGTATTGATTTTAATTTGTGTGTAATGTTGTCGTATCGTGGTTTGTTGCGAGTGCTTTCGGCCCTTTAGATCTGCCAGGTTGCTTAGGTTTTTTTTTTTAAGCGAATAAGATTAAAGGCGTAGACAGGGCTCTTACTGTGTAGTTGTAAGGGATTTCCCAACTTCTGTAGCTGGAATGAATGCAGTCTTGTGCACAGGGACTCTTACAGTGAAACATGCAATTAGAATCAGTTCTGCCGCAATGATTCTGTAGCAGATCAAAACACACACACACACACACACCACCGTCACCAACGCCACCCACCTACTCTCTCTCTTACACACACCCTCTCACATTATTATACTTTTATTTTTATTCCTTCATCGAACACACTCACGCATGTTCACACTTTTTTGTTCTCCCTGTTAATACCTTATTATATAGCAAATTTCGTATTCTACATTTTTTTCTTGTTGTGATAAAGTATAGCAAATATACTTTTTGGTTTTGTTCCAACTTCTCTGACTTATTTTATTTATTTATTTTACTTATATTTACTCAAAGGTGGAACAGGCTTAAACAGTTACTATTTGAAGCAATTTAAAATAAGTCAATCTGTATCTTGACTGCAGTTTATTTGCAAAATCTGGAAAAGGTCAGTGCTGTGAGACCAATGGTAGTTTTTACATCAATACAATTCATGATCCTGTTTATGTCCCTCACATTCTAACCATACTTATAAAATCCAATATCCACCAGGAATTTTTCATTAGGGAAAGTAGTTCCATTTGTGTTACCATGCACTCTTTTTAAAGAATTTACCTTTTGTTAAGACACATGACATTAAAGGTTATAATTACGTACATTATTTAAAGTAAAAACATGCTGTTAAAATAATCTTTTTTTTAAAGAATTAGACATTAAAGATCAAATCATTTTTAGGATTGATTTATGGGACTGGGTGCAGGCTGGTAGACTAGAGCATGGCACTAGCAACATCAAAGTCACACCTCGAATACGCTGAAAATCACTTTAGATAAAAGCATTTACCAAAATGTTAATGTTAAGGAACATGTATTTATTCATTTACTTTTAGTTTATATATTTCCAGCTTTTACTGCTCCTTGAGTGATCTTCCCAACTCTTCTCATTGCATTTCACTTTATTTACTGTTCCAGCCTGTTTTTTCTAATCAGTTTTGGAAATTGCTTTGGATAAATATGGTTGCTAAATTATTTCAAATGTAACATTTTTTGATACTTATTGGTTTACTGATTATAAGAGAGGCAAATGTATGCATTAATTTGTGCTGGCTGGCATGAGCATGATTTTATCAGGAAGTGGGCACTGTTTTAGCAGTTGGCACATGTTTTTGCAGTTTTCCTTATTCTAAGTCAGAATGACTCATGATGGACATCAGATCAGATATTAATGTTAAGGGTGGACTCTGTGGTCTCTGTTTAGCCCCCACCACCTTCCCTCCTGGTTTCTCTCATTGGAGAGCTCCATTAGTGTGACGCACTCAACTTCCACCTCCAACCCCCACACTCCCTCACTGACCCCCTGTCAGCCTCACTCGGCTCTCTTTTTTTATCTGGGTGCTTTTTTAACTGTTGGATATTTTGATCTCAGATGGGGTCATACTGTTGTGACTAGCAACTGCTTCAAAAAGTAATTGTCTGTGCTGTTTCACCTCAAATGGAAAATGGAAGGAAGGCAAAGGAAAAAATAAATCATCACAACTGAGCACAATGTGCAGAAGGTTTTTCACTCAATAAAATTGAAGCTTTTAATGCTTTTAAAATGGCTTTAAAATGTTACAAAATGCTGTTGTGTTATTGTTATAGCAAAAAACCTAGATGCTATTTGCCTGAAAATGCACATAGTTGCTTGACGCTTTTCAGAATGGATTTAATTTCATTATAGAGTGCATGTAGTCAGAATTGTTTTGTTAAAAGTGCTGTAAGCGATGTTAGCCATTTCACTGTCTTCCGCCACTGGCTTAGTCTGCCCTCCTCCAAAAATCAAACATGATCTCACCGAACCAAATGTACAAAATGACTGACAGGCAGAGAGCATCCCATCGTCTTCTGATTGGCCTAAACAATAGCGTCCCGCACCCGAATTTATTTTTTCTATTAACAGACATAATATCTCAGGACTCCTATTTCAGTGATATCTGTCAGGGTAGTGCAGACATTTTCTGTGTGCTCTGCCATGAGTAATTACTCACAGCAATTATATGTTGAGAGCCAGGTTAGCAGGGATCTAATGACACATCTGTGAAAGAATCCAGCTCGTACACTGTAACGTCCACCTGATATCCTCATAGAGTCACTGATCCAGGCAAAGTGCTGTTTGTTTCTACTTTTGTTCTTTCAGTCTGCTGCTTTGTTTCATTTGTCAAGACAAATGGTAGATAAAAGCTTGGAATTTTAATTCCTGAATGACGTGAGTGATGGAAATGTAGCCATTAAGCCCAAAGGAAAGACTTGTGAGGATAGCAGTAAATATAAGTTTTTGCAGTTGGTTGACAAATGCAGTGACTATATGCTGAGAAAGAGAGTTAGATGTATTTTGTAAATAAATTGCTAATACTGAATGTTTTTAGTGGCATTTTATGAACAATTTGGTCACAAACTCTCATACTGTAAGCAAATATTATGCATGCTTTTGATTGATTATATATGTAAATTTATTCTTTTTTTAGAGGTTAATCCCTTATCTATGAACCTTGTGTTTAAATATGACTGGTAGCATTTAGTAATGATTTGCTCCACTGGTGGGTCGTGAGTTTATGCAGATGAAAGATTTCATCTTGTAGAGCAGACAGTGATGTAATGTGTTGTTGGCTGTATCATGAACCCACTCTGAGATGCAAAGTGGAGATAAATGAAATAGAGTTTATTTGATCCAGAATGCTGATGCGGTATCAGTTTGTATTCATATGATTTTCTTATATAAATACCCATTATAATATTCTAAGCATAATAACCAGTGCTTTGATGCTGTAGTTTGTGTGATTGATCATTTTAGAACAGCTTTATGAGGTTCCCCAGCAAATGTCTTCACAGATAAGACTAATGTTTGTCCACTTTCTCGATAGGATCTCTGTCGTCAGCGCATGGTGGTGCAGACATCAGAGCGTGGAGACCGATCAGAGGTGTTTCACCCATCGCACACATCACGCATTAACAGCATGTCCTCACAGTTCAGCGATGGACCGATGCAGAGTCCCTCCGCCCGCAGCAGCACATCCTCCTGGAGTGAAGAGCCTTCCCAAACCAACATGGACATCTCCACTGGACACATGATACTGGTAAACAGTTTAATATATGCTTACGTGAACACAGGACAGACACTATTGAACACAGTGCCTTATACTACTCCCACTCTCCATACACAGCCTCTGTCGTTGCAGTCATAATCAGGATGAACATAAATACACTTTATAGATATCCAAACACATGCCTCGGCTCCTGTCTCTATCTCTTTGTTTTTCCTTCACCTCTATCTCACATCAGTCACTTATTTCAGATTTTGGGTTTGTTTTTGCTCTGAAAGGGACTGCAGGGCTCCATGGACGCTGGATTTTCTGACACAATGGATTGTTTTAATTTCGCCCCAACTTTTGTTTTATTCATCTCAGCACAGCTTCGACAGGAAAGACTGATAGGTGCCTGGTAGCGTTGTGTTCATTACCGAGCAGGGAATCTAGTGGAGCAGTGGAGCAAAAGACAGCCACTGAGTTGATTCATTTATTGTGTTTTCCTGTAATGGATGTCCCTTAGTGAGATTGTTTAAGGTTTTTTTTTCAGCAGTATAATAAAACCATGTGCGTTGTTAGGCAGAGATGCGTGTGCTAAAGTGTACACAATTACAAAGCAATTGTTCAAGCATTCAGAAGTTTGCAAAGTGCTGTGGTAATGATTTAATTGATTCTTCAGCTGTTTTGAAGCATCTTGTCTTCATACACACACAGCAAGGATAGTAAAACACTTGGTAGTTCACGGTTATAGACTGTTCGAGACAATTAGATTTCTAGTTTTTTTTATGTGCAACCATAGAAAATGTTTATGCACACCCTCAATGTTAAATGCACATTGCACTCTGAACAGTGCAATAATGCTTACATGTAGTAGTTGATATTTGATATTTGCCAGTTTTCACCACCAGCCAATAAGTTTTCTGTTTGGCCGTTAAGTATCGGCAATGTGTCTTTTATTTTGACATCTCCCAGACTTTTATTTTGATGCACAGGAACTCCCATTCTCTGTCTTTGTTAGTTTGCTGTATATATTTAACTGTTCTTTTTAATAAATTATTAGACAGTAATGTTAAACAAAATGGACTATTATTAGTAAGAGAAAAATGAACACTATTATACCGGTACTTGTATATATCAGTATTCAGCAAATATGCATTTATCATTTAAACAAGACTTTGAATATATAATACATTTTTATTATTTGTTATTTACTTCCTTTATAGTCATGTTACTTTTTAGTCATTTAAATATTTCTTTATTTGTAAAAAAAAAAAAAAAAATGTACTAAAAATACTATAATAGGATAACAGAATCAATCAAATAAGTTTAGAATAAAATAATAAAAAAAAAACATTTTTTTCCATATTTTAAAAAACATTTTTTGCTTAATTTAGTAAATATTACGTTCTAAATTTTATTGCAGCATGTTTTAAATCTTTAAATTAAATAGTGTGATATTGTATATATTGGCTTTATATTGACCATCGGCCACACTGCTCTGTAAGATATCAACATCGGCCATGAAAAATCCATATTGATCAATGTGCTACAGAAAACTTCAAAATCACATCTCTAAGCAATGACTAGTACCAGTTAGTGCAATGTACTATCAGAGGTTACTGCTTGTACACTATCCATCTCTCAATGGGTGCAATCAATGACCAGTTATGAAATAATAACTATTCTGATAGCGCAATCTCTCAGTATGTCAGGTTGCTATAAGGCATCTGTTTTCATCCCTCCTCAAAGATAAGAGCAAAGCTAGAGAATGCATTCTCCATAGCCCAGCCTCATATGGAGCTGCCTAGCATTATAATGGCACCTTGTTTTGCCATCATATTTTGACTGACAATCCTACAGCTTTTTTTTTCCTCTTTGGTTTAATATATACTTTGTATTTGATTTCCACCTTCTACCATAAGGTAAGATAAGATCTATTCATTCTAATTCAAATACAGCTAATTATTTAAATACATTATTACAGATATGCATATTTTTGTGTGCATAAAATGTGAGTCTTAAATCAAATATTATGACATATAATTGGTTTAAGAGTCTGACATTGCATCCAATATCAAGTACTTCTCTATATAGAATGCGAAAAACAAATATGCCAAAAGAGTAGTATGTCCAAATACAAAGTATTCGAGAACCAGTAGGCGAAAAGTACCCAGATGACCTACTACTTATGGTGAGATTCTAAAGTGTGCATTCGATGGACACATTACTATCCCATGAGGCCATAGGAGAGGATTTGGGAATGGCAGTAAAGCGATGCTACTGGTGCTGTAGGTCAGCATCACCAGAATTTGGTTCATACTATATAGAACATACTTTTTTAACGGTCGCATAATATGTTCAATTTCAAATGTAGTACCTACTCAGACAGTATGCGATTTCGGACACACTGTGAGATTTAGCCCAGATATCTGACCTTTTTATTATATATAGCTACTGCAGGATCATGAAGAACTAATTCAGAACCTTGGACAGCGCCACAGTTCACTGCTTTTGCTCCACTGCACTGTTTATTATTCATACGTGCAGCATGGACATGGTGAAAGATAATGCGGGAGAGAGACAGGTTTTGTCTTCTTTTTTTTTTTTGAATTAGAGCAACAAATCCTTGATATGTTCAATATGAAATATGTGTATGTGTGTGCATTTGAAAGCCAGCAGTACCCTGCAGTATTTAGTGCTTATTTTACATTGCTTAAAGAAGTGATGGAGTGATTTTTTTTTCAGTGTGAATGGAGAGAAAAGAGTCTGCTGTCTGTCAGGGAGAAGTACCTCAGTGATTAAATGGTTGGCTAGTTGCCAAATCCTTCTATCTCTGATTAAATCACGCATCATCTTGCTAATAGAGGTGGTATTAGAGAAGGCAAATAGAGAGAGTTACTGTTACATATGGTCTCAGAAACACACACACATAGGGCAGATGCTCCATAAACCATCTGTAACATAAAAACAAGAAAATCTAAAGGAGAAAAAAATGAAAAGCTTCTGTCCAGAAGGTCAGATAAATTGTTCGAGAAGAGCAAATTGTCCTCATAACAGCCATATGTGGCCACTCACAGTTGCCGTTTGTCCGCTCACGGCACTCAGGCAGAACTGGAGAAGTAAACTGATTGCTGGGTAATTTGTTTCTCTTGTGATATGTAACTTGAAGGATGAGAACATTTTAAGTGCAGCTGCCTGTCACGGTTTACCCTGGTAAAATGGCAGTGGTTTTGTGGAAAAGTGCTTTGGTTGTTATTAAGTTAAGGTAGATAGAGATCAATAGACATCATGACTTAGTAAGATTATTGTGCAGGAGTTTTTTAATTATTCTTGTGCATTATTATTCATGTATTTGTGCTACAGTTCAAACGTTTGGCAGAGTAAATTTGTTTTTTTTTGTTTTTTTTTAGGAAATGACGAATTTTTATTCAACAAGGACACAAAATATTTTTATTTCAAATAAGAAATTTGATCTTTCTGTTCATCAAAGCATCCTATCCTGGTTTCCACAAAAATATTAAGCAGCACAACTGTTTTTTACATATGCAATAAGAAATGTTTTTTGAGCACCAAATCAGCATATCAGAATGATTTCTGAAGGATCACGTGACACTGAAGACTGGAGTAATGACTGCTAAAAATTCAACTTCGCCAATACAGGAATAAATTATATTTTAAAAAATAAATTTGAATAGAAAACAGTAAATGCAGCCTTGATGAGCAAAATCATTATAAACTCTTACCGACTCCAAAGCTGTTATGGAAATTTGGAATAATAGCTTTGCTTTAAAAGGATAGCAGTGGTATTTGTGTCTTTAAACTAAAAGGAAAGCCTTCCGACAGCTAGACTTTCTTGGCCATTGGCCACATTTTTCTCCTGTTTGAGTTAATCTTATTACAGTGGCATTTAATCAAAGTCTTTTCTCCTTCACTAAATCATGAATTCCATATGAACCATAATGTCTTCTATTAAGCGACTTGTCACACGGTTCATCATCTCTTAAAACAAGGTCTCTCACACACATGCCCACTGTTCAGAGGAGTGCAAAATGCTATTCAAATAAGAAAAAATATATCTAAGAGAATGTTCATATAGCGGTGATGATGGTGTACATGAAGAAATAGATGTTCTATAAATTATATATTTAGAATGTTTTAAAAGGGCACTTTTGGCATGCACGAACGTTTGAATGTGTGTCAAAGCCCTGCGAGATTACGGATTGTTGTCTGTGTACAGGCCAAGAGGATTCTTGACATTAGTTTATGAGTGTGTAATTTGTTTTCACACAATAAATTCAAACACACATTCACATGTCCACATGCACAAGGTAAACCCCTTCTTGTGGGTTAACAATGAGAGACCAGAAATAAGCAGCCAAAAAACAAGACACCAACCGCCAAACAACTCTTACGCTCTGGCCAGCGACACAGTCCTCTGAGCTCTCTGTCTGTCTCTCTCTCTCTCTTTCTCTCTCAGTCTCTGTCTCTCTCCCTCCACTCCCCTTTGTCTCAGTTGAATTCAATTTGGGCTTCTTGGGAAGGCGGCTTAAGCGCAGACAATCTTATCAGCATTTGTGCAAGCAGTGAAAAGGAGTGATTGAAGCAGGCTGAAGAGGCACTGGTGTGCCCAGGCCTTTCAGGAGTCTTAATTGCATGTGTGATTGTCAGGACAAGCCCCCTCCCTGCAACCCCCCTTTCTCTACCTCTCTCTCCCTCTCTTCTCCTTTGTGGTGCATGTTTAGGATTACTGTCTACGATTCCCATGCTGAGCGGGTTTGAGCTCTCGTCTGTCTGAAGGTGGATAGGTGAGTGATTGTATTGTTGGGAAGAAAGAAAGCACAGAAAGCGATAGGTTGGCCTTGGAGGTAAAGCTGGATTATAGCAGACGAATGGAAACTTGCTATGGAGCTTTTATACTCACCGGATTTTGGGGAGGGACAGAGACTTAATTCAAAAGCGTTTACACGGGAAGGCAAATGGCACATGAAATGCATAAGCACAAGAAATATGGTTCATGCTCTTGTTTGCATTGTATAAACAACAAATGTAACCCTGCGTTGAAGTGAAATCCTCTGCTTTATATGTGCGTCACTCTTTTTTATGTTGTCTGGGCTGGAATGCTTTCCATCTTTGAGTTATGCATATTACAGGACATATTTTATTCGCCATATCATCATTAGGACCTTTCAAGCAACTTTTGACTCTGTGTCTTTCTCCCATGTGCAGTCGTATATGGAGGATCACCTGCAGAATAAGGATCGTTTGGATAAGGAGTGGGAGGCTCTCTGTAGTTACCAGGCTGAGCCAGCAGCATGTGCGGTGGGTCAGGAGGAACAGAATGTCCAGCGCAACCGCCCACACGGTGTCCTTGTGTGTGAGTGCTTCGCAGATTGTATCTGCCTCGAGTGAATTTGTATTTGTTTTCTTATGCACTATGCCGTAGAACGGCAGCATGGCCTGTTTGGATTAATTAAAAAAGTCAGTGGCCTCTTCATACACTGATCAGAATTTTTCTAAAAATGTGCAGTCTCTACTAAAGGAATGATCACATGTTTAAGAGAAGTGTGTTATTGAAATGTTGATGCTCTAGTAGTTACGTCATCATCGGTCTGTCTTGTCTTTGAATACTGTAGATGATCACTCCAGAGTCATCCTGAAGCCGGAGAATAACCAATCCAGATCTGATTACATCAACGCCAGTCCCATTGTAAGTAGCCATGCTCATTATTTACATATTTTATGCATCATGTCCAATAATGGGAGTGAAAACACCTCTTACAGGTTGTTCATGTGATGGAAACACTGACTCTTTTTGAAACATAGTATTTATGTCCGTTTTTGCCAAATACTTGGACTTTGCCAGGTCTATTTTATCCTCTCCTTTGAAATTTGAGACTTGCTTATATTTTTTATTTATTTGTTCCCATTTTCTCCTTCATTTCTCTCCTCTGTGGATCAACATTGACCATTCTCAGACGGTTAAATATGCTCTTTTATGTATATGTAGAAGCACAGACACTGAGGGACTGAGAAAGCACAAAGAAAAAAACTTAATAGTAGGTTCAAATAGTCAGTCATTCATTTCTAGAACAAATATAAACACGGCAAACATTATGAGCCAAAAGGAAGGTTTGTCTATTAATGTAAGCTTTTTGTGTGCATAATATTAGACACAGACCACATGAATGCCTTAAAACCAAACACTGTGATTTCATTACCATCACAGACACAATAATTTTTGTTTTGGCCCCTTAATCAGTACATACACATAATGTTAATCAGTATAATACCTGTGCAGTAATATCACACTGAGAAAGTCAAACTGAGTAATTTTTACATACTGTTATTTTTGGACTCCAACTCATCAAAAGATGAAACAAAAGGCACAAGCGAGTCAGCCCTCCCTCCCCGAGGGTTTCGTGCTGCAGTCGGGGTTGGGTGCACTGATCCACTGGTGCGGAGACAAATGCATGGATGTGCGGTAATTAAAGCGCAGCAGGGATTTGGCAATGTGCGTTTCAAAAACTGTGATAATTATGTCTGTCAATGTTTGTAGCTTCTTTCTCATTAGCTGCAAGAAAGAAAAAGGCCTCAAAGTAAATCATTCGTGATATTTTTCACCACCTCATCACACCAACACCCTTTCCTTCGGATTTGGTGACTGTTTAGGGTTGAGTTATATTCTGAATCTCAATTTCCTTACATCTTCCTTCTCATTACATCTTTCAATCATACATACACAAAAAAAGGTATGAGTGATGCAGAAAAAGCTTTTCAGATGATATTTAAAAACATTTTGTTCCTTTCAGTAATATTGAGTAAAGGAAACCAGGTGAAACATATAACATTCTTTGTTTTATTCCATCAATCTTGACTCCTAAGAATTTTGATTTGTGATACATAATATTGTACATATCATGGTAATACAGTATATCCTGTGAACAAATCATACTATGCCCTATCTTCTTCTTTCTTTGATATTTTCCTTATAGGGCATCACAGGATGCTGAATTTACTGATAAACCCCTAAAAAACTCAGATCTCTTAAAGTAATTAGACCTTAAGAGTATGATAATCTCTTGAGTGTGAAATGACAAATCGACTATAATAACACCCTGTATAGAGAGCGGGTAGTCAAAAAAACGTTTCATATAAACTGCCGGCATTAGCCAGCTTGTGTATATATAATTGTTCTACCCTTAAATTGCTCTTGCCAACAATTAAGGTTGTGCAAAGCAATTATATCCATTTTCTGCCATGCTAATGGGGGTGCGTGTCATTCACTGTAACCATGGGGTTTGAATCTGTCTCTCTCATGCAGTGGTGTTTGATCTTTTTGTGAGGCTATAGAGAAATTAGTGCAGAAGTACTGAACCATGCAATTACTTTAGCAAAAGTTTTGAAATGCTTTGTGATCAGCTTTTGTGCTTTAAAGACATACATACTCCCAAACGCACTCACAAAGACAGGCATACGTGCTATCAAGCACACTCTCACATAGACAGCTGTAGCATTTGATCAGCGTGATGAAATGTTCATCAAATTAGAGCATTTTGGCTGTGAAAAACGGCCACATTTATCAGTAGGGCTATACTTTTTAAATGATCTTAGCTTAGAGCTTCAAGGACACACACATACACATACACATGAAAGAGCAGCAGCAATTCTAGAAGTGTTTGGAGCTTGTGTTACAGTCTCGTCCACTCTCTCCTTCCTTCATTTAATAAGCCCAGGTCTGACACTCTAACAAGACTGCATACCTTGACTCCTTACAGCAAACACGCGTTTGTTACAGCTCAAAATGGACACATTCCAACCTGATGACAGCTTTCACTTCTTTTTGTAAGGAGACATTTCAGGTCAGGAGAATGTTCTCCTGTAATGCATCCAGAAAATAATATCTTTCCACTAATGTGAGTGTGGACAGGGTGTGTTGTAATGAAAAAAAAAATTCTTACTTCACCTTTTCTTTTAGACCCGATGAATGGTGGTTTGTGTTGATGTTCTTTGATGGACAGATAGTGGGATGTGTGGACTAATGGTCAGAGTGAAAGACTGGATGCCATACATTAGACACAGATAATAAGAGCAAAATTCTGAATTGTGGTCATCACAGCTTGTAGACGTGGATTATTAAATAAGAATTGATCAATAGCATGCCCCATTCTGCACATTCTCCTGTACTGCATAAATCAGTAAATGCCAATCAGGTTTACGAGTATCCCAGAATATATGTGATTTGTTGGGCTTATTTTCCATCCACAGTAGACTCGAGATTTAAGATTTTTTTTTTAACATACATATTTATATACAAAATGCAACCTGCAGTGAAATGTAAATTTGGTTCGCTCCATAGACTGTGCATCAAATATAAAAAGGATAAACATAGGAAAAATAATGAAAAACAAAAGTAAACCTGAAGCAGTATAAGACTATACATGAAAACTGAGAAAACAATAAAAAGTATTAATTATTTTTTTACTTTAATAATGTTGATGATAATGCTAAATGAAATCCAGTAAGGTAATATTAAAAATATAATATTAAAGTTAAATATTAAAATAGTATGAACAGAACAAAAGGTACCATCAAAACCAAATTTAAAGGTTAGATCAGTAAAAATAGCACCTTATGGTTACAACTGCAAGATATCATTTTTAACAGTGAACACATTCTGGTTTGTGTCAGTGAAGAGAAACTTGAGTCTCAAAAGGCTGAGAAACGCTGGCAACATTTGACAGTTTGCAAACCTATTAGATTAAATAAGTTAAAAGGTGGATTGTCCCTTTGCTGCAGTTTGAAATCTACTTTTGCTTGTTATGGTTTTGCTGCTGATTAGCTGAAGTGCTGGTGAAGATCTTGCCTGTCATTATTTAATTGTGGCTAGTGCATTATGAATGTCACAGTCCATATCCATATCAAATTTTTTTCTTTCTATCATTAGCTTTTTTCCATCGGGACAGCTTTCACTCAGACAGACACACAATTACACGCAGACACCCACCTCCAGCCACTGAGCTTCTCATCAATAAATGCGTTTGATTAGAGAGATGCCTTGCTTTACTCCCAGAGCCGGCTTTAATCAGAGGTATTAAAGAATGCACATGCTCGGAGAGGACAGACGGGAGAGACTGGAAGAAGGGGTGACTGGAGATGATAGAGCGATATAGAAATGGAAGAGAGAGTGGCTGTGGAGTAGATAAAAATGAGAGCGAGAAAGACAGGAGAGAGGGGTCGGGAGAGGAGAGGTGGTCGTGAGAGAGACGACTCTGCTCTCATTAGTGACAGGCCTCTGTGTCTTCGCTTTATTTGATTTGCTTTTCCTTTTCCTTTTTTAACTCCAAACAGAAATTGTGGATATTCTGTTTCTCTTGGCAGCAAGTTTGTTTACCCCTTCCCCAAAGATCGGAGGGGACCTAAGAAATGTTCAGAAAGCAAATAAATAAGATCAATGAAACAGTGCAGTTTACATAGAGGCTTCATGTCAGAGGAGAGCACCATAGAAACTAACATCCTTCCAACATGCAGCCATATCACTCTTGTTCTTCTGTAGAATAGAGATATTCTTTAATCAACAGACTACTCAGTGTTTCATTTTCAGTATTGATTAAAAAATGTTTGTTTCATGAATATTCATGAAATATTTATTCTGTCTGTTCACTTTTAAGATGGACCATGACCCCCGAAACCCAGCCTATATCAGCGCTCAAGGTCCTCTTCCCTCCACCGTGGCAGACTTCTGGCAGGTAAGATACTCAGTGTTGTCCGAGTCTAATCCATATGGATAAAACACAAGTGCAAGAACTGTTCAGAGTTGATAGTTCCTTTTTACCATATTAGACTCAGGCAAACCCATTAGCAAGAATTGCTTTTGCATTCATATTGGATTTAATGTCTGATCTCAAAATATAACGTGAAAGCGTCTGTTCACTGTATGAACTCTCAAATAAGGCAAAACTGGGACCTTTTTGGTAATGTTAAGGGTAGAAAGGACACATTCCGTCTACACTAAGAAAGCTGCTTTATAAACATCATTATATTAACTTAATTAGGAGGGTCAAATGTCCCATAAGGTTTGGGATTCCCCACTGCACAGTTTCAGTGCTGAAAATATAAGTGAAGATCTGAGCTTTTTCTCCAACACAGATGCTTTGAATGAGAAAGTCTCTCACTATAATAGTTTTGATTATAACAAATTGATTTCAGTGCTTTTATTTGTTTGTTTGTTTGCATATTAGAATCAGTGTTAATTGCTCAGTTGATTTTAAGAACCACCTAAATGCTTTTTGCTGGCATGCGTAGGATGTTTTCAACTCAATTAATATTTTACGATCAGCAGCAGCTTTGAACATGTTTTCTCTCTTTTTTTTTGAAGGTTAGATAAGTAGATGGTGTTAAATACAAACCGTAATCTACATTTTAATAAATTGACTGTGGACTGTGTGCTGTCACTTGACCCTCTATAATCACAAAGCTGTGTTTGCTAACAGATGTGGGTGTACACTAATTGATGTTATTGGTTGTTTGAATTTGTCGTTTTGTCAATTACTGGCAGAAAATTAATGATCTAAATTGATTTAATTCCATGCAAATGAATTATAGACAGTCAGGCCAGTTCTGAATCCAAAAAAGGCCATTAAAAGTTCCATTTAAATTAAACTGAGTACATTAATCCCTGTCAGTTAATGTAGTGATGTCATTGTCTGTGTTTCTTCTCATTAATGAAAAGGTGATTCATACCAAACACAGCCAAGCTTTTAAAAGTTTGCAGCGTCTTAAGTTTTCTCTTTAATAAAGGGCATGTATACATACAGTGCTGGAACCATACCGTGGACTTTGGGGGAGCCCACTTGTTTGTTTTTACACAGAATCGACCACAGAGTCCAACGAGTAACTGGTGAATTAGGTTTAAATCGCCGTCATGCATGAATGAATGATATTTTTGCAATTTTACACATAATAATCCACGATGATCACATTACACTAAACTGAAATTGCACGTCAAAATAACACATTGTCAATATTTTTTGAGACCCCCCAAAATTTCACAAATCACGTTTTCAGGGTAGCCCATGTCTTAAGGGGAGCCGAGCTCCCCCTAGCTCCCCCGTAGTTCGCACCCTGTATACATACATATTTACTTATATGTTAAGTGTAAACCTTTCCCTTCTTCATTAGGCATGGCTTGTAAGACTTTCTCTAATTTGTCATTCAAAGAAAAAATAGAAACAGTGTTAATTAGTGATAAGTCTCCATGTTGTTCAAAGTTCTGAAGTCATTTATTAAGTATATGCGGGTGTACATCCAAACAGAAACTAATGATTAAAGAGATTATTATTATAAAAATGTAGTTTAATAAAACTGTATTTGACATATTGGTGTTTTAGGTCTTTTTAGATGTACTTCACTGGAACCAATTATTTCCACTGAACGCCTAAAGACAAGTAGTGATGATTCCCTTTAGGTCCACATTACAATGTGATGTTTTTATATGAATGTCAGAATTGGAGCTTTGTCCACATGTCAAAAAAGAAAGTTTGCACAATACTCTGAAAAGTTTTCCTCAGAGGGAAAGAAACTTCTACATCTTTCAAGTTTTATTCACAGAATATTCAATTGTCGCTTTGTGCAATTTTTATTCAGAATTCTGGCCAAGCACAGAGCACTCAGTCCTGTTGTCTGCAGAGTTTTCAGAAACATGTTTGTTGGTTTTGTTTGACCTTTTCTGCATATTGCACTGCAAAGCTTAAACTCAACAATATTTGATCACCTGGTCTGGAACATTAGTGCAAGCTCCTCCATTGACCTTCAGTTCCCACTCCTGTATTGAAGAATCAAGCATTGTGATCTTTGTATATGAGCTCCTCAGTCAGAACATTTTAAATTACACAAGAAATGGTTTTTACAGCGCTGAATAACATTTATCTTTTAACATCATTTGACCATTAATGTATACAGTGCTAAGCATCTAAACAAATTTCTGTCTTTATTCCTGTAAGCTAATAGTTGTGCCATAAATTCTGTTAGGATGAAACATGTGAAACAAAAAACTCTATTAAATGCTACATTCAGTGAAAGCTATTTTTTATTGCCACCATTCTCTCATCATATAATCATGAATTTAAGACATTTTATTTTTCATCAATTTCATCTCCAGCGTTTTGTGAGATTAAAAATGATAACATATTCATAATGATAACTTTATATTGCGTTTTGAGCCACTTTTACCATGGTGTAATGTCTCTACATTTCTCTGTTAATGACTCTGTGGGGACGTGTGGCACATGAGTTTGATTATTTTATGAGCAGGATCATTGTATTTTATTGCTACCATAAAAGTCAGTGTTTTCCCTCATTTTCCTAATGGCCGCAGTGGGCCTTTCCGTGATTGAAGGACACAGTAAAAGTGTGATTAGGGGAAATGGAGCAAGGCTGAGGAGGCTCCGTATACAAGGGGAAGGGGAGATCGCGAGATAGAGGGCAAGAGAGGTGGGCTGGAAGACTCAACTAAACTCCCATTACAGTGACGAGTGGGCTTGAGTTATTAAGACCAATTAAGTTTAAAGCAAACTCTGCTGAAAAGCACAACTCTCTGAATCCAGTCATATACCATGGCGTAAAGGAGGGAATTTTTTTGTCTTGCAAATGTATTTTTGGCTGTTTTTCCCTGTCTAAACTGTAACATTGCTTTTGCATTTTCTGTTGATGGTGTGTTGTGTAGATGGTTTGGGAAAGTGGCTGTGTGGTTATTGTCATGCTGACACCTCTTGCTGAAAACGGCATCAAACAGTGTCATCAGTACTGGCCTGATGAAGGCTCGGACCTCTACCACATATATGAGGTAAAGCTCCTGTGGACACTGTGGTTTTATATATTTGAATGATGATTTATTATTTCAGGTTTTAATACACCTTAACTAAATATAAGGACAATGGACCCTCTTCACACACTATGATGACGCGTTTCCACAGTTATTAACATTGTAAATCTAGCAAAGTTACGTTTTTTTTTTTTAAATACAGAAAAATCAAAGTTCATCACAAGTAGCTTTTACGCCATCTGAAGTATATACTAATAGAGTCATTCACGAAAACACAAATCACCAACATTAAATAAACAACAGATAAAACCCAAATGTACATAACTGATAAAAACTATTAAGAAATTATTTAAACAAAATACTTTCAAATATGTCATGCAGGGAAATCTGGGAATATCAGTTTACAGTTTTTGACTGTAAATTATGTTTATTTGTTCTTTTTTGCTTCTAAAAACTGTATAATTAACAGCATTTTACTGTAAAATTACATGAAATGTATGGATCTTTTAGTTTTTCCCTTATAAAGTACAAGAACTTACTGTTAACCTATTAACAGTTTTTCTTCTGTAGCATTTTTACAATATTTTACAGTTAAAATTACACACTTTTTTTTACAGTGTATACTTTGTTTTATATTACCTTGGCATTAAATTTCAGAATACTAATAATAAAATGACTGAGGTAGTGACAGCAAATTTGACCTCTTTTTCTCTTTCGACCACCATGATCGATCTCTCCCACCTTTAAAAATCATACAAACGCTATTGTGAATTTTTTTCTTTTGCTACTATAGTAAATGAGAACCCAACTATGGCAAGTTTACCAGATTATGGCAAGTTTACCCAACTATGACAACTTCCGCTTCTGAGAACCCTGGAAATGTGAAAAGGGTCCATATAACTACCCTATTAGTTGTTGTGCCAAAATAACAGTATTTCCGAGTTTTGTCTGTGTTTGTTAACATTATACATGCTGAATCTAAAAAAAATGTACAAAAAAATGTAAATGAATTTTACATGTCAGCGTGTTAAAACACACTCTGCATATGTTCTTGAAGGTAAATCTGGTCTCTGAGCATATCTGGTGTGATGATTTCCTGGTGCGCAGTTTCTACCTGAAGAACGTCCAGACTAATGAGACCCGCACAGTCACTCAATTCCACTTCTTGTCCTGGATGGACCAGAATGTTCCAGAGTCAGCTAGAACCTTGCTGGACTTCCGCAGGTATGTGTCCAGCTGCTGTATTTCACCAGGATGTTAATGGCAGAATGTTTACCTATGCGGTTTTTGTCTTAAATGTTTGGGCCAATATCCTTATTTTCCTAAAAAAGTTTGTGTTCATTCACCTTCAGCCTGTAGGTTTAGAAAGAATAGAGAGTATGTTTTTGAAGAAATCAAATCTAGCCCTTTTTCCTTGTATATGTGTGCACAATAATCCCTATTAAATTAAACACTCCAATTAAATGTGAAATGTTCAGCAATAAAACAGTAGTGAAAGGAAAGCCAATGGCAGCATATGACTCTCTCATTTTTCACCTGCTGTGAGCGTTCTGAAGAAATGCAATAGGCCTCTGGGGTAAAACCTTAAAGAAATTTAACAACCCTGGCACAGGCGGATGTATACCTGCAATAGGACGATCCATTTTGGTCTTCTAGTTTCTTTCTTCATGCTCAAGCAGAGTTAGCAAATTTTAGCAAGTGTTCTGCTGTGCTGTTACATTTAGTTTATTAATCCCACTACTTCACCACGGAATGTAGGGAAATGATGTTGGCATGTTACATTTCAGACTGTCTGCTTTGTATTTTTAGAGTCTTTTATTTTTAGAGTCTTTTAGATCTTTTGGAGAATTTCCTGTTGTTGACTCAGAGCTCTGTGCAGCTCACTCTGATTTGCTTACATTCATGAATTATGGTATATCAATCATTTATCTAACCATTTTACAGACACAGGGGCGCAGTATGCTTTAGATTTCAAATAGTTCTCCTTATAGCTACTGTATACAGTGTATGCTTTGGGGAAATGTCTCATTCTTACAAGTGCATATGCATATTACATATGCCTGTAATATGAGATTAAAATGTATGTGCTGACATTTCTAAAGCGTCAGATTTGGAGTGCTGATTCTGTTGTTGATTCATGGGAGGACTGTTGGATCATATGCACAAAGTGTTTAGATCTGGATCTTGTGCCCTGAGAAATAATGGGGTAATAAATATGCACTGATAAATGAAAAGGGTGGGTCTGATCCTCTATCAGCATTTACTGATGATTGACATATGATCCTCGAGTCTGAATTATCACTCCCATTCTGAGACCCAAAGTGTTCTGAATATTCTTTTCACTCTGCCAAAGTTTCAATGACACCTTGAGCATTGAGGCATTGGTGAGATGGTTTTAACCCTGGTGCTTCTGTTTGAATTGCTCTGGTTTCTGTTGCCATTCTGAATATCTCCCCAAAGGCCTGTGACACAGTCTTGTCTCATACACTGCCATGACTCACACTGAATCTGTCAAACGCTCCTCACTCACCTCTCTTGTTTTTTCGTTGGCCAGCTAATTAGCGGTTGCCAGTGTCATTTTTGTGATGTTGCAGCTAGTTATATGAGCCCAGTTGCATAGTCACAAAAGTGATCATTGGAAACTGTATCTCCTCTTCCAGGCCCTTGATTTTTCCTTGCCTCCCCACCTGCATCTCATACTCACCAGATGTCCCTGTTCTCACACTCGCCCACCCTTTTTCTCTGCCCCTCTGTTTTGCCCAGAAACACACGCTGCTGCCCTAATGCCCCAATGCATGATGGTCCCCTCTGCACTCTTTCAGATCTCAGACAAAACTGATATCTAAAGCACTTTTCTTACACATTTCTTGTGGAGGAAACATCAGGCTTTATTTTACATTTATTTCAAGGTCCAAAAATTAACTTTTTGTCAAATGAGAAAATGTTACTTATCTAGAAATGTATTTTGCACCATTTCTTTATTAAAACCATTTATGTTCATGCCCACTGTGATTTTTTTTTCCTCATACTTTTATTAAATTAATATTATGATCAAGGAATGTCACATTTGTTTTGCTAAAAGAAAAATACAACTCTAGGCATTCTTCTGATGGTAATTTTTCCAAAATGTTTAAAAGTCTGTAGATGATATGTGAGTAATGAGATTTTTTATTTCTTTGATTTTATTTGAGCATGTCATGTACATCGGTGTGGGTAAGGTAACCATTCTTATACTTTGACTTTAACCATGTAACCTGTTGTAGTTCCTTATAAAGTTAAAGTTAATAAATTCTGTTTTATAAACTCGCCAAAGCCAGTTGTTCTTGCATTTGGCACTTGGCGAGTGTTCATTTTGGATCCAGCTGTGTTTAAATAACATTATATAAATGAGTGCAGCAGGTTTTAGAATTGAAAGCCGTCCCATGAGCATTCAGATCTGATCTTAAAACCCTTTTTTGGTATCTCTTGAGAAATCAACCTTGAGGTATGCACAAAGCAGGGTTTTTTTTTTTTTTGGGGATAAGCAAAACAATATGAGTTAACACAGTAGGTTTCCATGGCAACAGCACCAATGTGCCTTAAAATCCTGCAAGGCCTTATGGTTTTCAGGCATTATAATTGTGCAAGGTTAATGTGTTTTGGATCATGACACCTAACCACACATCATTTACTTAATGGCTTGTCACAATGTGGTGGATTTAACAACCTCTCCATTTGTTTTAATTGTTTGGCATGGACCTTTTGGTTTATAATGATTTTGATAGACACATGTTAGAAAGTCCTCTGGTTTGACAGTAACGTGTTTGATAATAAACAAATGTAATATGTTTATATATGACCGTATTTATAAGAGTTTCTAAAATGGCAAATGAATATGCCCATGATCTACTTATTTGCACTTGCAGTATTAATGGTCTCTTTTTTTCTGTCGTTGCAGAAAGGTTAACAAGTGCTACCGGGGCAGATCTTGTCCAATTATTGTTCATTGCAGGCAAGTACCATAATAATAACAAAAAAAAAAAAAAAAGCAATATATATATTGCTTTATTTCTTTTATATAAAATGCAAACATCAAAGCAGTATTAAATCCAGTTATATAAATTATCAGTGGTCTGAATTATCTCTCAGGCACTGGTAAAATAAATGAAGTATTGAGTGAATATCTACATGAGTGATGGTAAAAATGGATGGCCTTTACCCTCAGTGTGAAATTGAGGAATGTGAGCGTCTGTGTAAACTAAAATAGTGGCCAAATGATCTTTAACACCAGGGGTTAATGAGCAACATGTTGTGCGTTGTGGGGAAGACAGGCTTCACAGCTGTCGTGCATATTTGAATAATTCAGAATGATATCAGGCGAGAGGGGAGAGTTTCCCTAAATAGTTCTCATTTCCCAAACCCCCCAATTGAATGTGTTTTGTGTGTGTGTGTGTGTGCTTAAACCTGAGCAACCTCAGAAAGCGGCATGCACACGTTCATTCAGTAATACACTCATAATATTCAGCCGCATGTCTTGAAAAGTAACCTTGATTTCAAATCAGAATGCAGTTTACCATCCAACTGCGTCTGAGTTTGGCTGGTTCTCGCAATTTAGTCGATTGCGTAGAAGGTAAAACCAGTTTAAAATGCTTTTTCAAGTCACTTCAAATTCCCATTGTGTTCAGACACTTTGTTTTTGCTCTTAAAAGAGCTGTGTTGTGTTATTTGATTTTTTTTTTTGCAAATGCAGTTTAGTTTTGCAAAGAACAGGAAAACAAGACAGCAGTCATCTTTGACAGAATTAGTGAATGCTGAAGGATGATGCAACAGCAAACAATGCGGCTGTAACACAACAGAGAAATTAACGCTTTGTTTTCGTTTCAGCAAGCACATACTGTAATGCTCATTCAGACAGGTCTGCTCTTTTCTCGGAAGTGATGATGAGTTTCTGTCTTCATTTGCAGCGATGGTGCTGGAAGGAGTGGAACCTACATCCTGATTGACATGGTTCTAAATAAAATGGTCAAAGGTAAGAGTGCACGGCACAGATGAGGAGGCGCTGTCATAACACACAACGTTTCACACAATGAAGGTCTCGTCTTGCATTAGAGGATGATTGAGGTCTTTAATGAATGGCCAAGGCTCTCAAAAGGCTAATGTGAATAAAAGTGCGTGAAAACATGAAGAACGGAGAAGAGAGTGTATTTCTCCTTGTGTTTGCACTTGTAAGCAACTGCGAGGGTTTCAGCTTCGTCTAATACGGTTGACTTTTTCACATGCAAATATTATACGTTCAGCGCTGCATAGAGTTTAACGAGTCATGTGAATCCAGCCACGGAGACGGAAGGTGCCTTCATAACCTGTCTGAATCATCACCATTCTTCCTGACCCCATCTGGTGAGGTCACCCATGCATTTGCCTCCCCCCATGCTTCTCTATTCTGGTCACCAGTCCATCCCAACTCCTGGCCCGACCATGGTCCGTGGCTTTTTCCATAATGAGGGATCAAAGGCCAGATGCAAGGGAGAGCATCGCTGCATTTGGGCCTCTTTCCCATGCTGTCAGGGGCCCGGAGCCTCGGCCCTCAGCGATCCCCTCCATCTCCCTTTTGTCTGCTCTCTGGGGAGGAGGAGGGGCTCCCAGGTTGCCCACTTTCCAGTGTTCACTTGTGTGAGCCCCACACAAGCCCCAGAAAGTCCCAAACAACAGAAATCTCCCTCTTCCATTCCCCTTTTCTCTCTCCTGTTCTTCATGTCTTCCTCTTCTCTCTCTCTCTTTTCTCAAACACCCCGTTGTATTTTTCTTTCGCTTTTCTTCATCTCCAGGAATGAATTGTAAATTAGTGAAGAATGCTGTTTTAATTCCAAAGCCTTTTCTTGTTAGATGCCCCCTCCTTTGCTCGCTCTCTGTCTTTCCCCCTAAACTTCGGAATCTTGCACTTCTTAAGACATGAAAGTGTTGGAGCACCTTTGAGGCTGGAACCCCAGCTGCACTCGCTCCCTTTCAGAAAGCATCTATAAGGATTCCCGCTTTTCTCTTTCCTTCGCCCTCAAACTCCCTCACTCTCTCTTTCTATCAATCTGTACAGAAGGGAGGGGGTAGTCTGTCTTTTCTTTTTGAAGAATGAATGAATGAGAAATAAGGCCTTGTTAGACCTCTCCTGTTCTCCGCTCATTTATGAGAAGAAACAACAATGGACCTGTAGAAAAAGTCATTCAAGCTAAAGGTGAAAGGGAGATTTCTCCTAATCAGCCTTTTCGCTCTTACCGCCATGTGAAAAATGTCATATTCACTTTACAGTTTTGGTTCAGTCAGTGGTGCCGATGTAAATTTGTATTGCCAAGAACAACAGCTCTGCATGAGTGAAGTCGTATGTAATGCATGTGTGCAGGTTCACTATCTGTGTTTTCATGAGCTCTACTGCTATTAACCACTGTCTTAGAATCTCTTATTTTAAGTGATTATTCATGTTAGAATTAAAATTATCTGCGGTCTCTGCTGAATATAAACTAAAAACTGTAAAAACGGGTAATTAGGTGACCTGCAAAATCTAAATGGATGGCTTTATTCAAGTGATATATAACTGAATCAATCTGACAACATTGAATTACACCAACTTAAAAGTCAGATCAGGTAGAAAAAAATTACATTTAAAGCTTTTTAAAAGATTCGATTTTTGTCACTGGTATTATTGTATTTGTATTTATTTAATTTTTTTTGTTTTGTTCTAGAATAAGGCATGAAGTTCTGCTATAGACTAAAACAAGTCTAGCTAAAAACAAGGTAGTCTATAAGCTTTGTCCAACATTGCAAAGGGAATGTAATTCCACAGAAAAAGCGAGCGCTGGAGAGAGTGCTAGATGATCTATGATTATGTGGAGTACTTTGAACTCATGTTATGTGGCTCTGTTGCAGGTGCTAAGGAGATTGATATTGCTGCTACCCTGGAGCACCTGAGGGACCAGAGATCAGGCATGGCACAGACCAAGGTAAGACTCTTCTTAACGAACAGTGAGGAAGTGCAAAATGATGGACACTGGGTATTTAGGGTCTCTGTTAAAGATTTTAAAAATCTATCAAATCAAAATGTAGCCTTTTTTTCTGCTGCACTGCTGTTATTGCTTTGAAATTTTCTCTCATGGATATGTCTGTTCAAGGCACTAACCCTTATATTTGGTGCATTTTTAGCATTTTAGCAATAATTCAATATTAATGCAATTATTATTCAATTTAATACCATGATAAGCTCATCATCAGAAGAGAAAGTTCAGTCAGTGAGTATAAGTGCAATTCCACCTGCACACATCGTCCCGAGACGTCCTGTACAATACGACCCTAACCACACTGCTACAATTAACATCGATTTGTAATCTAAAACCACATAGTCAATAAAGCAGCAAAAGAAGGCTCAGAAAATTAACTTATAATTGATCACTTCTTCCATGACAAATACGTCCTGTTGATGCCGCAAGCAACAACGTTTTGAACATCAGCCAGAAGGTCCTAGAGAGTCTCCAGCATTACAAGATTGACTGATACAAGATCAATTTTTTTAAACTATGCTAAAGAAACATATTTAGCATTCTACTGTTTGGAGATAACAAGATGAGCAAATGACAGTCCCCTCCTCAGAGCCACACTGAATTACATTAGCTGCTGTTTATGAAAGATAAAGTCCTGACTACCTGGTTAGCCACTGTAAACTGAGATACTGAGCCTCCATGGATTGTGTTGAAAAGATAGCATTCAGAGGATACTGAAAATAGTGAATATGTAAGTGGTATTATAGAAGTAGTAAATGTTAGTGCAATGTTAGCTTCCTCTCTGTTCAGTTTAGTGAAGCAATCAGCCTACTTTACTGAATAATCAGCTATTCATTTTTTTGTTCATGTATCATAGTGTGCAACAAATTCCTAATATTTGAATGAAAGCCAGAGCTGTTTCCTCAGCCAACAGTAATGGTTTCTAAAGTAACTGCAAGTTAACAAAATGTACCAACAACTGTCAGATTGTAAAAGATCTTTTTAAAAAGTCCTGAGCAAGTCCTCATCCTACTTATCAGTTCGTAGTCACATTGTAGTTAGTCTGTGACTGTATGTCTCTGACTCGCTAATAAGGATATTTGGATCTTTCGGTTTTGTTTTCACCTATTTATAAGCAAACTAGTATTAGTATTACTAATATAATCATGTCATTTAAATGAAGGAGAAATCCCTGTACACCTTGGGACTTGCTGTTACATTTTTAATCACTTTTAAATTAACCCTGAATCTTTTCATTAGAAAGAAAAAAACAATAAATTTATTTAATCATTTATCCTTAATCCTAACGTAACAGGTTGCTCTCAAACTCTGTAGTTTGTTAATTCTACTCATTTCTGGACTTTAACAGTGCATTATTTGTGATTTTACTGTTCTGGCCCGCTTAGTCAGTACTTCAGCTCTGTGTTGCTCCAAAAAGCAACATATGTCCAAAGGATGCCCCCTCGCCCTGCACGTTTAGAACACTCTCAAAGCAGGTATTCGTGTGTGAAATTGGTCTGCCTCCTAAAATCCATTCTACCCTCTCCATTCCTGGCCCAGAATAGGAATGTTTTGTGCATTAGCAGCTCCATGAGCTCTCCGGCTTTTGTTTACCTTGGAAGAGAAGCTCATAAACAGCTTGACTGATCAGATAAATATCCACAGCCATACTTCATCATGTCTGGAGAACATTGAGGCATTAATGTGACACCATCTAGTGGCAAAATGGTCACATTTACACTTTTAGTACGCAGTCGCCTTTTTCTTCCAAATCGCCTTGCATATGACAGTGAATGATATTTGTGAAAATGATCAAATCCTCCTCATGCATTTATGGTCATTTGCATGCATTAGGTGGTCTATGTTTACAGCACAAGCTATTACCGCTACAAAGTAAAATTATAAAATAATACATTTATTCAAGCTGTTGAGTTTTTGTACTGACATCACAAACCTTTACCTTCACTTATTACATACTACATTTTTTGAGAGACTAATTTATGTTGGTTCAAAATACAGAAAAGTGCATGTTAAGTTAATTCAAGAGGGATTTTTATCCGTTTCTTGTTTTGTGAAGCTTTGCATCTGACTTAACGCCCACTTTAGCTTGGTTTATTCCATGGCCTGCAGTGGGAGGCTTTGGTTTCAAACGTTAGTTTTGAGGGTCGCTCTTCAGACAATGATCGATCTTCACAGGGTGCCCCTCAGGGAAGAGACAGATTTTGAGTCATAGTTTGAACAGAGCACATTGAGTCACACATTCTCTGCAGCTTTAAAGACACACATCTACACAAGGAGCACACACACATTTTGTATGTGCTTTCCAGCAACTTATTACGTCTTCTTCTGACTGATATTCCCTTTAGGTCCATTTTCCCTTATTTTGCAAGATAAGTTTGTGCTTAGCGTAAAATGTTGGTGTTTTTTGAAGTACTTGGCTGAGTTTCTTCCACTTTCTCTCCTTCTGTCTTCAGGAACAGTTTGAGTTTGCATTGACTGCTGTAGCAGAAGAGGTGAACGCCATCCTGAAAGCTCTGCCTCAGTGAAGGAAACTTTCACAAACACTTCCAACCCGTCTTCTTCCTCTCTTTTCTGTGTAACCTGGATACTTATGAAAATTGACACAATTTTAAGCTCTATCCAAACTCAGACGCATTGTATTGCGCAAGACATTTCTTTGTACTAAGTGTGTGTAAAATTCTATAGCATTGAAATAATTGTTTAGACCGATATTCAACTAGCCAACTAGGCATGCAGTCATAGATTGTATTTGCTGCTCGGATTGGTGTTTACTTACCCATGAGTTGTGCATATGAAATGTCTGAAGTATATGTGTTTGTGAGAAGCAGATGTGATCTTAGCATTGCTGTATTACACTGTATTGGTTCACTGCGGTTATGTTCTTATACAGTACAGGGAGTTCATGTGACTACACTTAAGTTATGGATGAGCAATACTAATGTGACAATGAGAATACTACAGTATAATGCAGTTCTGTGATCTCCTTGGCATCAACTTTCATTGTTGTGATATATTGTTTCTAGATCAACTAATAAACAGATTGTATTACATATAGATAAATTAATTATACATACAGAATGAACCATGTGATTAAAAATGGTCTGCCAAAATGTAATTGTACATATTATTTTTGTGTGTGCAATATAAAAGTAACGTAATAAATCTCAAAACGCTGAAGCTTGAGTGATAATTGCATTCATGAATCATTTTGTGTGTGATGGAGGGAGAAAGACTGGATGAGAGAGATTGTACCAACAGTTATCCTCATGTGAATTGTTGCTCAGTTCTCTAAAATCAGTTCTGGCGAGTTGAACAAGAACAGAAAAATGGGCAGTTTTCAGTTTTGCTCATCCTTGAGCAACTAATATATAGACTAATGCACAAATAATAACAATGTATTATTGTTAAGAATTATGTGGAAACTTTTCACTTAGGCGCTTACATAAATATTCACACCTCTTAATTTCCTGTCTGCAGTGTTATTATTGACAGCACTTATGACGTCCATGCGCCTTCCTGCTATTTCTGTATGTTGATTTGCATGCCATTTGCATATGCATCTGTCGCTTAACCTGCGTCTTATCAGTATGCAGCCAATCTGAATGTAAGGAGGGCATGCTAATCATCTTATGAATAACTATATGGTAACCATAATTGTGCATGTTTAATTGGTCGTCATCAGAGGGATACAAGTTTATTAGAAAAAATTACAGATGATAATTGCTTCCTGCAGCAACTAGAGTATTATGCGGGATTGTGATATGCTGTCGTCTCCCGTTCAGGGAATTCATATTTCCTGGTATCGTTCAGCACTGCTAACACGATTAATTATTGCGTTTGGCGACAACTAGTTTAACTCAAGCTGATTTTTTAATTAACTTAGTTTCACTATCATTCTTTTTAAAAATTAATCCATTTAGATTGTCCTTGATAATTTGCAGAAAGACTGGATGAGAGAGATTGTACCAACAGTTATCCTCATGTGAATTGTTGCTCAGTTCTCTAAAATCAGTTCTGGCGAGTTGAACAAGAACAGAAAAATGGGCAGTTTTCAGTTTTGCTCATCCTTGAGCAACTAATATATAGACTAATGCACAAATAATAACAATGTATTATTGTTAAGAATTATGTGGAAACTTTTCACTTAGGCGCTTACATAAATATTCACACCTCTTAATTTCCTGTCTGCAGTGTTATTATTGACAGCACTTATGACGTCCATGCGCCTTCCTGCTATTTCTGTATGTTGATTTGCATGCCATTTGCATATGCATCTGTCGCTTAACCTGCGTCTTATCAGTATGCAGCCAATCTGAATGCAAGGAGGGCATGCTAATCATCTTATGAATAACTATATGGTAACCATAATTGTGCATGTTTAATTGGTCGTCATCAGAGGGATACAAGTTTATTAGAAAAAATTACAGATGATAATTGCTTCCTGCAGCAACTAGAGTATTATGCGGGATTGTGATATGCTGTCGTCTCCCGTTCAGGGAATTCATATTTCCTGGTATCGTTCAGCACTGCTAACACGATTAATTATTGCGTTTGGCGACAACTAGTTTAACTCAAGCTGATTTTTTAATTAACTTAGTTTCACTATCATTCTTTTTAAAAATTAATCCATTTAGATTGTCCTTGCATTGCATTGTGATTATTCTCGTCTGTTCCAAGTTGCTTAAATCAGAATGTCATTATCCATTTTCTTTTCTCTCACACACGAAGATATCTCATTTTTACCACCACAATGTCTGTGTGTCAAAGAGGAGGCATTACTGCTAGTACTATTAGTTCTAAATTGTTCAAGTTCATTACATTCACTGACACACTAGAACTGCAAATAATGGCCTATTTGCATGTTTTCTGGAATTTGTCAGCTCAAGACCTCAAGTGACCCAAAAACGTCCAAAAGTCTCCAAAACTTAGTTTGCGAGTCATAAAGGTTGATGTTAGACATCACAAGCATAAACAAATTCAAAGAATTCAAAGCTTGGTATCCTTCGAAGTACATAATTCACATGTACTGTATGAATAAATGAAAGATACAGATTTAAACTGAAAGATGAGCCTTGCTGATTATCACTAAATCAAACAAGTAGCATCGGAAATGTTGTTTTATGGGACATATTAGGAGCAGAAAGATGAAAACGGTGTTCTAATTGGTTAACACTAGTACATAAGCATTTTATTGTTAATGATCACAAATGACCTTGTGTGCTTCTGTACTACATAAGAGCTTTGCTTCTACCTGCCACTGCATTAGAGGATAAAAAGGAAACTGGCTAGAAACTACAGAAAGACATAAAGCTACACAGAACGCCCACACTTACAGACAGAACGGTTCAAATGACTAATCAGTTCTCATCTAAAATACTCAACTTGTTAAATGTGATTGAAGGGAGAGATATACTTGTGGCAAAGACTAGAAGCAAAGGTAAATGTTTTATAACTAATGTTCACTAAAAATCTTGGTTCATGTCAATTTAGGTTACACTTTATTTTAAGATGTCCTTGTTACGATGTAATTATACAATAAAGTAATGAGTAATATTAACTAATGTGTACTTACTGTAGGGTTCAGGTTAGGACTATGGTTCAGTTTAGGGTTAATTATACATAATTTACTGTTATTACTATAGTAAATACATGTAGCATGTAACAAAGACCCTGTAAAATATATAGAGATGAGGATAGTGTCACGTTGCCTTCGGTTCTTTGTGTTTTCGCCTTTCTGTTTGGAGTTTAGATTACTTCCTGTTCCTGTTTGCCCGTTGTCATCATAGATATGAATCTATAGGTAGATGCCTTATAAGCAGCTGTTTCTATGGGCTGCTATACGTAAGCCGTCTGCCATATTGGAATGGTCAAAGCAGTTCTGTGAACACTCGAGAGCAAGTTGCCTTTTTGTCTGCAACCCTAGTTTACGCATGTATGAATATCGATATCTGCAACAGACTTCAGCAGATGATTTGCTAACACAACACAACCAGACAAAGCTGTTAGCTAACACGACAGGTACTATAGTTTAAAAACCTGTAATATTGAGTTAATACATATTAAAGGAGTCATATGATGCGATTTCAATTTTTCCTTTCTCTTTGGAGTGTTACAAGCTCTTGGTGCATAAAGAAGATCTGTAAAGTTGCAAAGACTAAAGTCTCAAATCCAAAGAGATATTCTTTATAAAAGTTAAGAGTCAGCCATGCCTACCTAAAACGGCTCGTTCTAACACGCCCCCACATATCTAGGTCACTATGTGGGAAGATTTGCATAACGCCGCCCAAATGTTCACGCAAAGAAAGAAGGCGTAACTTTTATTCTCACTGTAGTTTTGTTGTTTCCGCCGCCATGTCGTAAAGACGCTGTGTGGGAGGACCGTTTCCTGATCCTGGGAGAGTAGACTACAATGCCGGCTGTTCTGACTCAAAGACTGTAAGTACGTTTATATTTAAAGAGTTTTTATATTTTATATATTTAAAGTGCATTTTTTGGGCAGTGTAGAGTAGTGCTTGTTGTTTGTCATTTCTCCGATCACAAATGCAGACATGGTTTTATGTTTACGCGGTGCGATACGCAACGCAACGCGTAAAAAGGCAGTATAAGTCATTATAATCCGTAAATATGTCCCCACTGGATGCAACAAATGCCTCGTTTATAATGGGTTTTAATGTTTTTGTCTC